GACACAACACCACATCCTATGGGAATATTTAACAACACAAGAAGTTTAGGAAGGCACCATAACAATCCTTAAACAAACCTCTCAAGGAGGTATGGCCATAACCTATGAATCAGTGCTACAAAGCTGCTTCCTACAAAAGAAGACCAAACTCCTAGATGCCTGGAAATAGAGACATAACAATAACCCTCCACTTCAATTAACTCAAATAAATATGCACTCACTTTACACATCTTCACTAGGAGCTTTTTGATGTCCTCAAAAGATGTACACTTGTAGAAATCTAGAAGGCTTGCTATGCCAAAACATTCAATAACAAGAACCCCTCAACTTGAACAACAATCTCAAAAGGTTGGTCACACTTGGTCATCCACTAGCATCTTGACTAGACATTGTTATAATCCTGGTGCAAAAACATAAATATCTAGTCTTCCTAGATTACATTATGCCACCTTTTGAGGTTTTTCACTGCCCAACCACCCCTAAGCTACCTCGAACACTCTATTGCGCCACTGCTCTATTGTGAGCTCTAGGATAGTTAAGTTTTTTACCCTAACATGCCTTAATATACCCTTGAGCTTCCCTTTGACTAATGTTAACTATGTGGTCAAAGTTAGCACATAAAAATTCTTCCCCCCCCAACAAAGTCCTTGTCCCAAGGATTAATTGTACTGGTGATCACCCTTTCTAGGGAACCCTTCTCAAGCTTTTGATCCATCTTCCACAATCATATACATCAAGGAAGCATTGGGTTTGTTATTCCAAGATAGTACACCTTTCAACTAACTGATATAAAATATTAGATGAATTTTCACTCTAGTTGGCAACTGTACCCAATAAGCTGCTTTACCAATGCACTTTAGCACTTTATATGGACCAGCATGCTGATAAGAAAGTTTATCACTCTTCCCATTCTACAAAAGCACCAAGGTGTTCCACCGCTCACTTGAAGGAAAGATCACTACAAAAACAAAATCACCCACCTTATATTCCCAAAATTAACAATGCTCATTAGCAAACTTCTCCATTCTATCTTGAGTTGCTTGCAAATTCCATTTGCATACCATGAGAATCTCATCAAGTTCTATGGCTAGATCAGTTTCCTTGGAATCAAGTTTATCTTGAACATCTTTACTCAAATGCAATCCCAACTTCACTATTGTTCAGGGATGCCTTCCAAACATGGCAAAGTAAAGATTTAACTTAGTTCCATATATTATCTATTGTTGTAAACAAATTGCACCAATGGAAGATATAAATTCCACTATCCCTGCCTTTGGCTAATGCTACAGTGTAGTATATCTTTCACTACCTAATTCACACACTTGGTTTGCCCATCCGTCTAAGGATGATTTTCACTTGAGAGTTTCAAAATCACTTGCATAGCCTTTGCAAAGCTCTTCCAAAATTCACTAGTGAACTTTGAATCTCAATCATTAATAATGTCCTTTGGCAAATAAAAATTAGGAAAAACCTTCTCCAAATAGATTGCAACCAGATATGAGGTAATGACAGTCTTTCAAAGAGCTAACAACTATACATACTTCATTAATTGATCCAATAAAACTTATACTTGCTCTTTTTGCTTCTGTGTTTATGGCAAACAAGTGATGAAATCCATAGAGATACTATACCAATAGCTCTGAGGAATAAATAAAGGTTGCAAAAGCCCCTCTGGCTTCTTCTATGGCACCTTTATTCACTAATAAAGCTCACATGATTTATAATTCTCGAGGATATTAGCCTTTATATTCTTCCAATAAAAATTGCACTTAATTAACTCATACATCTTCTTCCCTCAAAACGACTAGCGTCTAGATGATCATGATAGTAGAATAAAATTTGAGTAATTAACACATCCACCCGTGGCAAATATACATGGATATTGTAGTAAAAAATCCCATCCACTAATGAGAAAGGTGCTTCTTTCTGGGCTCGCAAAAAAACTACCTTAGCATCCTAAACTTGAGCACACTCAACCAACTACCCAAATTTGCTAACCATTCTACTCAAATGATGACAAAATTATGTTTGTAACGCCGTCACATAATGAACATGAGATAAAGCATTTACCACCATATTTGATTTTCTTGAATGATGCTCAATAAAAAACTCCCCAAACTCTATAAGTTTAACCACCCTTTTGCATGAGAATTCTTCCCAGTGCATAACCACTTACATCACATATCATCTCGTAAGGTTTTGATGAATCAGTAATGCAAAGCACTAGAGCTTCACTCAACAACTATTTTAATACCACAAAACTATCCTCTTATGGCTTCTTCCACTTAAATGGCACATATGGCTATTTACTACAGATATAAGTTTGTGAAGGTGGCTATTTCTTTGATATGATTGTTATGTAAGAAAATAATTTATTTGATGGTACTTTACTACTTTGCAACAAAAAATAGAAAAAGCGATGTCTCATAATGTTGTGTGTCAAAACAAATCCAAGGAAGGTGGCTATGGTGGAGAACTAACCTACACCGACTTCAATAGCTAAGTTATATAGCTTCCTTGGCCTTTAGATATCACAATATGGCCTAGATATTCCACTTTCGACTTTGCAAGCTTATATTTACTCTTCTTCACATAAAGTTTGTTCTTATGTTGTAGCAAAAGAACCTTGCATAAATATACCTTATGCTCCTCTATATTCTTGCTGAAAAAATAGAATATCATTTAAAAAAATCTCCACAACCTCATAAAGATAAAGCCCAAAAACCTTTGTTATCAACTGAGTAAATATAGTTGATGCATTTGTCAAACTAAATGGTATAATTGTAAACTCAAAATGCCCAAAACTTGTGTTGAATGCCATCTTAAAGATAAATGCATCATCCATTGCAATTTAATGATATCCACTCCTCAGATTAATCTTGGTAAACACTTGTGCTTCACCAAACTTGTCTAAGATATCATCCACATACGGCATGGGCATTTTATCCTTCATTGTTTTTTTTTCAAAACACAGTAGTCAATACACGTCTATATTAAACCATCCTTTTTCATAAGCAAAACCAAAGCATTAAATAAAGACTTACTTGGCTAAATAAATCTAAACTCAAGTAATTCCTTAATTTGTTATTGAACTTCTTACTCCCCTACATAACTCAACCGGAATAAACACCATTAAATTGGTCATGTCCCCGATTTCAAAGTAATCCCATGCTCCATACCTCATAATGAAGGCAACCCATGAAGAAGTGTAGATGGAAAAACATCACAAAACTCATCAAATACATCTCATACTACTGCTTCTCCCCCACACATGACTTGGTCCCCCAAGTCACGAACAAACAATAAATAATTCAAAAGTGTTTTTCATTACAACAAACCTGCTTCAAAGATGCAGCAGAAAGTATAATAATTAAAGGTTGAATTCCCTTTCCAAACCATACATCTTTAATGTTGCCGTATTTTAGCAAGACACACTTAATACTCTACTTTATCCCTAGATCCACCTTCACCAACTATGGCATTTTAAAAATAAAATCCACATGATGGATATCCGCGAGATAAAAAATTTCCACAAGTGTAGTTTTGCCAACCAATATTACTAACCCCTCTATATAAATATCGAAGTGCTAAGCAAAGGTAACTGCACCTTCCACTGTGTATAAAAGAATTTCTCATGTCACCAGACTATGTTCTTCAACAAATTTTGCCAAAACAAAGTTGTTATCACTCCCACTATCCAGTAAAATTTGCACTAAACCACCACAAAACATGCATTTCAACATTAGAATCCTATCCTTTACACTCTAAACTAATTGGTTAAAGGGGTGATTATTTGATTGTAGGGCCTTTTCTTTATCCTATTACCCTAACCTGGTGCCTAACAATCCTTCCCTTACCAAGGAATGATCATCCATAATCATACTTAAGCCACCCTCCAATCACTATAGTCATTCTCTTAAGGTTTACCAAACTTTGGTTTTCCCTCTAAATCCATATTAAATATTTTTGCAAAATGTTTTTGCCCCATTTGTTAGCTACAAGAAAGCCACTCTCCAGTCACCATGATCCTTCTCTTAAGATCTACCAAACTTCAATTCCACCATGTTGAATATTATTGCAAAATATTTTTGCCCCACTTGTTAGTTACAAGAATCAAATTAGGCTCCAATACCAATATTAAGATCCTATCTTTTACACCCTAAACTAACTGATTAAAGGGGTGATCATTTAATTGTAAGGCCCTTTTTTTATCCTATTATCCTGACTTAGTGCCTAACAAACATGCTAACAAAGAGAGGAGATGAAGGAAAGATTGCTAAAGAACAAGCTCTTTAACCATTCTTTAGACACGAAAGTAAAACTAATGAAGATGAATAAACATGAAAACCATCACTATAGGTTTAGCAACACTTGTCCAAGAACAATAGAACATATACCTCCCTAAGTCCCTTGAATTCCTCTTTAAGATTTGAACAACCTGGACCACAATAGTCACAGTCTCAAGTTCCAAGTTGGCTTTGTCCCCTTCACAACCACCCCCCCCCCCCCCCC